CACACTATAGCCCAGTCCCAAGCTTGGGACTTAATGCTAAGCGTACCCTCCAACCTCTGCACGTGCATAGGTTTTTACAGCCCGGTCCTATACGTGCACCCTCTATAAATGCACACACGTGACCAACACAAATATTCTAATGGTAATTTGTCAGATATTTCCGGGAGGTAGATAATAAATAAACACAAAAGACAAGTATGATCATCGGAAAGACTCGAAATACTGTCAATTGTTGTAGTAGCGTAGGAAAAAATACTATTTCTATAAATGCACACCCTCTCTAAGTGCACGCTACAGGCTGGTCCCAAGGGTGTGCACTTAGAGAGGTTTCACTGTATAATGGATCATCACATCATAACAAATAATGGATTTACTAACTGCTAATAAAACGATAAAGCGGATTTTAAAAAAATTCCTTACTATATGCCCGAGGTACGGGTACCCTGCATTTAATCTTAAGTATTAATAAGTATATATTAAATTATTTATACGTACGTATTCAAAACTCGTGCCTCTTTAGCTAACCTTAAATTTTTTTAAAATGATATCTACGAGTTTTCGGTTCGGTTGTGTGGTCTCTCTTGTAATATTATTTGAGGTCGGATTCAATTCTTTCTATTATTGCGTTTAACCCAAAAATGCATAGTGGTAATACACCAGAGTCGCAGGTAATTCCAGGAGAAGGAACGTATGGCTCATTAGATCAAACACCTAAAAAACGCAAAAGAACAGCTAAAAAGGAGCAGAAGGAAAAACGTAAAAAAGATAAAATGCCATTAGACAACCAACAACCTCCACAAGAAGTGCCAAGTGAACCTATTGTGCGACAAATGGTTCCTGTCTTATCTTCAAACGCACAGGAAACTGGCCAAAAAAGAATAACAATTATGACTTATAATGTATATGTATTTAGATAATTTCTTAAAGGATCCCTTTTATATGCTCATTTAACATTTTAATTACTATAGCTTCTTGCACAATCCCTTGTTCGCAGGGAAATTTTTCCTGAATCTGGAGATGCAATTAAGTGGAAACACCGTCGTCCTCGTTTGCTAAAGGAGATTTTACATTATGAACCCGATGTTTCTTGTTTTCAAGAAATGGATCATTCTAATTACGTTGATACTTTTAAACCTGAATTTGAGAATGCTGGATATGAAACATGTTTCTCTGGAATTGGTAAAACACATGGTATGACCTTAAATGTAATCCATATTATATTATTCTTTATATAAAAAGAAAATTATTTAAATGGTCTTTTTGTTTAGGTTGTTGTATAATCTGGAAGCGATCCAAGTTTACAAAATTAAGTGATTTCACTATCGAATTTGACAGGTTTGGGTTACCTACTATGACAACAAATTGTATAGGCCTTATTGTTTCTCTCAAATGCTGTGAGACTCTCCCAGATGAATTAAATTCCTCAAATTCGGGACTAGTTATAGGAACAACTCATCTCTATTGGAGACCTCAAAGCATGTATGAACGTGCAAGACAGTGTTTAATACTTTGCGAAAATTTACTAAAGTTTAAAGAGGAATCTGGTTTCGAGACAATATTGGCTGGTGGTAGGTGTAGATTTTGGATAGATTAGAAATTATTTATTCTTAGAATACTTAAATTACAATTTTAATATTTTCTTATCATAATTAGATTTTAACTCGCCACCAACAGATCCTACTTATAAGTTAATGGTAAAGAACACATTAACTGAGGACGAAATTTTGAGCTTGAAAGCTTCTATGAGGCCTTTCGGTGAGGATGCGACTTCCGACGATCCTCCTTCAACAGAAAATATGGTTGAAGAAAACAGTGTTGACTCGATAAGTGATAATGGCGCAGGTTTGTTAAAAAGCTCTTCTTCTATTTCTCCTTCGATACAAATTACACAGCAGACATTACCATCAATGAGTGTAGGGAATACACAAACCGAATCAGCAATTCAATTTAAACCAACACTTCCCGAGCTACTTTCAAAATTTGCAAGCCTCCCATCTTGTGTATCATTGTATGCACGGCACCTGAATTCAATAGATCCCGAAAATACTATTTATTCTGAACCAAAATTCACAAATTATGGGCTGTACTTCAAAGGAGCTTTAGATTATATTTTTCTTTTTTGTCAAAATGATGACAATCGAAATAATGAAGACATTGATAAAGATGTCAGTTCTAAGGTTAAAGTCACGAAACTATTAAAAATGCCACCAGAAGAAGAACTATTACCACTTTTACCTAATTATAAATTTAATTCTGACCATTTATGTTTAATGGCAGAATTAGTTGGACTGGTTTGATAATTATTAGGGTAGCATTTGTTGTGTTGGCCTATTGATAAAAATAAGTAAAAATATATAGATATATATAAATTAATAAAAAGATTAAAAATCTAATGGTGTATGGAGACTTAATATGTGAATAAGGTTCTACGCTTAATTTTTCTATTTTTTAGGGGGGTTTATTGTTTTTTTTGCTCAATATTTTACAAACTTTGCAGATAGTTATCATACTAGAATTTATACAGAATTTTTAGCACAGTTACTTGTTACTGGAAACCTTTTTAAATAAAATTCTTACGATTGTAAAAGATCATAATATTCTAAGCAAATAATCCAATTACTTTGTAAAGTTACAAGAGAAATTTGATGTACAAATTTGGATCGATTGGACTCAAGGCTAAGGTTAAATGGGCTTAAGACTAAGTAAGCTGATATAAACGTATTGGGCTTAAGGCTAATAACAACATCGACGCTTACTAATTGCCTGAATATTGATAGTACCCCATACCCATAAATTGAATGCTAGGTTATCCACGAAGATTTCATACAACATTTCGGTGCATGTATGTTGAAATAAAACATTCCTTGATGAATATAATTCGCATTTTTGATAAATGCTATCTAATAAAGCATGTGAATAGACTGAACACACAAGCACAAATGTTCACTAGAACAAATAATACGAATAAATTAAAAATTAAGTCTGACAACACTTTCTGTTATGCCAAAGCATAACTGCACTCTAACGTGTTGTTTCAATTTATTGAAATCAGAAAGATAACCAAAATTTCTTTAATGCTCAGCGTGTTCTCTTAATTTTTTATTGTGCAAAGCTAATATAAATTCATACGTTAGTCAAATAAAATATTTTGTTTTTATTTGCTATATTCTATACATACCCCGTGGATTGCGAGGATCGATATCATAGGGAGGAACTATAAAGTGTAAGAAAAATTTCACACATTTAGCATTTAACGCATGATTATGTTATACAGAAAGTATACACAATGTGTTAATTATACCAGACTGTCCTGCTTTTTCAATTTTGTGTACGAGATAAAGTACAATAGTTCCGCTTATCATAAAAGGCCACATAGGTCTTATAATTGGTGTAGGAAATCTACGAAAGCCGAGAAAAGCCATTTTGTTTTTTTTTTATCAGTCCAATCAAAAATGAATAAATATTATAAATATTCGAGTTAATAATCCAATCATAACTGGATGAATGAATATTCGACAGCGCATGGCTAAATGCAGACATGTAAATAATGAAGCATACGAATTCTTTTTTTTTTGCTATTACGTTAAACAAAGATTTAGATATTCACAAAAACCACGCAAGTTTATTGATTATAACGATCTAGTATAAAGATGTCGGAAATTAATGAGATTTTGGCCGCTACGGGTCAAATAAATGACAGTTCTGCTTTAAATGAGAGGTTCGAGTTGCAAACCACCCCATTCTTATCTGATCATAATAAAATCGCAAACATAATAAGTTTGGCTCATTTCGATTTCGTAGTCACAACAACGAATCAGGGCTGGATCCTAACACTGAATTTGACGAGCCACACGTTGGTCGACATGGAACAATGGCTCTAATTCTTCTAGGTGCCCTATTAGGTTTTCAATTAGTGATTCTTTACTGGAAACAACGACATTATCGCTCCTTCCAGCTGGTTACGTTGGTTGGCTTATGGTATGCATTATTTTTGTACTAATATTCTGAAGATCTTTTTCTTATTTTCTTTATTATGCTTTATTTTGAAGGTTGATACCAATGTATATTTTTGGAATTCAAGCTCATTTTTGGAGATTTTTGACGATTTGGGTTTTATATTCAATAGTCAATTCATGTAGTAAGTGAATGTAATTCATTATGATTATACGTCTTCTAAACCTCATTAAGCGATCACATAAATTAATTTTTCAAAGTTTTATATTTGGCATCTAGAAAACCTCTAGATCACAAAACACCAAGGTACCTATACACTAATCATGCTCAATAATTACATCTGAACTAATCACAAGACTAAACCATCTTTTTTTTTTTTATTCATAGATTAGTTTACAAATGGTTTTCTATTGTTTACAAAGTGTCATATGCTGTGGGAATCACTGGATATTCGATAATTATGTTCACATTTTTCGGAATAATCCAGTTATTTTATACGGGGCCTGAAGTTATAGAACTTGGAGTCTTACTTTTATGCTACGGATTATATTTTGGGTATATACATATATTATTATTATTATTATATTATTGTAATTCTAGACTACAATATCATTTTAATTTTGTAACTCTCTTCGATAATTTAGTGTTTTAAGTAGAGATTTTGTTGAAATATGTACGGACAGAATGGCGTCTACTCTTGGATATTATAACAAAGATGGATTTCCACGAAAACACCTTAGAGCAAATATATGTGCGATATGTGGTGTAGCTGCAAATGGAACAAATGAAGCAGGAGAACAACAGAATGTTTTTCAACTGGCATGTCGACATGTTTTTCATAATGATTGTATACGTGGGTGGTGTTTAATAGGCAAAAAAGATATTTGCCCATATTGGTGTGTGAATGCAAACTTATTTCTTCATTTACATCTATATCTAATTTAATTATTAATTCTTATTTTTGCTGTTTTACATAGTAAAGAAAAAGTTGATATGAAAGAATTCAAAACAAACCCGTTAGTACAAAACTTTTACTCAATTATATTTGTATGTATTACATACAAATAATTTTTTTTAAAAACCGAATCGTTAAATTTATAGATGGGATACACAACAACAACTATACCTAAGTCTTCTTGATGGCGTTCGTTATTTGATAGTATGGCAACCTGTAAGTTAACCATTTTTTTTTGTTCGTTTGCTTTTTAATCAATTATTCGAATACTAAAGGCTTATTATTTTTCAGGTAATTTTCGCATTTGTAGAATTAGCTTACCATTTAATTGGATTGGAATAGCATACAAATACAAAAATTCATTATTATTGGCTAGACTATATATAACATTTATTAATTTTTATGTAGTATATTACAACCTTTCCGAGCTGTGGGATAATATAAATTTTTCACGTGGTAATATATTAATTATTATTATTATTGTCAATATTAAACAGATTTATATCAGAAATATTTACTTGAAATAGAAACTTTTATACAAAAATAAAATTTATTCGATTTCTGTCTTTTACTGAGTATATACAAGATTATCTAATAAAGGCACTTATTATGAAAGAATCTTAATAAAATTAAAAATACCTAATACGGATTGTTTAAAATTGAATCAAATATAAAATTATCAAATGAACCAAAACTACATTATGACATATATCTCAAGATTAATAAGCTCTAATAAAAATTTCAAAATATACAATATATATATATATGTATATCAATTTAAACTCGACTATACAAAATAACGTGTAAGTTGATAAATATTCCATAGGTATAATACTTTTGATGTCAACCTCATTTTGGAGATGGTGGTGGTTGATTCATAATGTCTACATATCTCGACCGAATAGGACGCCGCGTACTAGCGCTAGACACGCTTCTCTGTTTAAGTGGTGGTGTTGAAACATTTCCACCTGGTGTATTTATAGGTGGCAACGATTGTCTATTGGTAATTGGAGGTGGAGTTGACTGTAAGTTTGAATTTGAACTCATCATTGACGCAGATGGCGTAGGTGATGTAGTTTTAGCGCGCATTGGCTGTGGTGGAGGAGGAGTTGAAGCTGTAGGTGTATCCGTACCACCCTATATGTAGTAATAACACGAATATATGATTAATATAATGTGAGGTAATTTAATGTAAATATACGTGAATTAACGAATAGAAACTTTACCTTTTTGTTGATCCATCTTTTTTGAACAGGATCGAAATAAAACGAACTTTCTTCTCCCAAATTAGCAACTTTACCACTGCCTTCTTTCTTTCCGAAAAACCTACCAAAAAACCATCCAGACTTTTCTTCTAATAGAGCAAAATTTTATTGAGGAATATGAAGTGTGTTAAGAACGAGACCCTAATATATAATACATAAGATAAAATCCTAAAGCATACCTTTTTTCTCTTCTTTCGGCTGTTCTGGCTCCTGAGTGACTTTCTCAGTCGATTCATGATCATTATCATCTATTTGTTTCTCTTTCTTTTTGGCATTAAAGGTATTATTCCCTAACCCTAAATCATCATCTATATTATCCCATTCATTATTACGACCTGCCGAGGTGCCGATTGGTGCTGAAGTTGGTGCGAATGATAAATTACTATTGTCCATGGGCGAGATAAAATTCCCTTCCTCATTATTATTAGTTGTTACTTGGTCCCGTTTTGAGTCATCGTCATTAGTATAAGGGCTGGGATTATTCCACCATGCAGAATCATTTGTATAAGACGTATCAGAATTCCCAACTGGTTGATAATATGGATACATGATTTGTTGCTTATTTGCGTCAATGCCTGAATTGTCCGACCATGATGGATAATTGTATTCACTTTGTGTTGACTGTTGACCATATGGAACAGAACCATATGAATGTCCGTTTTCATTCTGTTGTGATTGTTGATACATATTATAATTTGAATTATTATAACCCCCAGCACCCTTATGTTGTTCCTTGCCGCCAGTACCCTGTATACCATAGGTTCCGAAATGACTATTACTATTATCTATTGCCGGTGTAATATAGGATGATTTGTCTTCAGGCACGGGTGACATTGAAATCTGTCCATCTGAAGCTGCAGGGCTAAATTCACTATAATTATATCCACCATTCATGTATTCAGTAGTTTGTACACCAACACCAGGTGTTGACGATCTTCGTTGATGTCCATTTAATTGTTTTTGTAATCTGGCATTAGGTGTAGTTGAACGTCGTGCTTCATGGCTTGAATCAGAGATCGATCGAAACTCAGCTGCTGACACACTACGAGACGGGACATTGGAAGTCTGTTGGGTAATGGCACTAAAGTGGGAGAAAGGTCCGACAGTCTCTTGAGATATTGATGATGATGATGGTTTTTGTCCATTTTCATCCACGGCATCACCTGCAACAAACCTATTGAATTTCACTTCAAGTGAATCCCATAAAGAATCAAGAGCTGCTTTAGGCATTTTTTTGGCGAATAGCCAGGACGATGACTCATTATTTCTTTTAACATGAAAATTTAACAATACAGTCAGTGAATTATAACATTATTTATTATTACAACTTATTAAGCTTACCCAGAACTATTTCCGCCATGTTCAAGTAGCCTTTGAGTTAAGTCTTTTAAGTTTTGTAAGAAACAGCCATGAAAATACGGTGAACCTTTTGTATATACCTTTACTATATTTGCAATAGATTCACAATATCTATACATAAACGTTTATAATTAGAACAACGATAAACGAAATCAATATTGATAATAATCATTTTCTTGCCTTCTAGCTTCATTCAAATAACCACAATCCACCAACCACCATGCGTAGAGCAACTTGTATGCTTGTAAAAATGGTAAGCCATCATTATTATTTAACGAGAGTCCAAGCTCATAAATTTCAGTGAGACGCAGCGCTTGCCAATCGCAAAAAAAGCGACTAGACTGATTACAAATGTAGTCATTGCCCACGAGTGTGAAACGGGAATTAACATCATCAATTCCAGACTGGATGGAGGATTGAGGAGACAATATGTAGCTTATAATTCAGCATTTTTAGTTAGTTAAAGTTAGTTAATGATACCTAGAAATATTACTCCACAAAATATTATTAAAATAGATTTATAATACGTACCATACATGAGCAGCATTAATCCATCCAAATTCTTTTAGCATATCACCTAAAGCAGACATTGCTTGATTGTCACCTGGCGATCGATTTGCTAAAATAATCGCTAAAGTTTCACGCCATTTCTCCAAACTCTCAATTGGAATATCACATGTAGCTGAAGAATATAAGGGGTTCATAGGTGCAGGACTATACTGTAAGTTGGCAGAAGTATTTAACTGTGCAGCATTTGTTGTTGGAGGAACGTGTGGAAATTTGATTGTAGGAGAAGGCTGAGTTACACGATTAAGCAATGTTGAATGAGGAAGAAATTGTTTGACTAAAAAATGATAGTATTAAATGAATTAAATATCAGGTAGAATCTTAAATAATCTTAATCATAAAAATAGCTCATATACAAAAAAAAAATGTATATATATATATACCCGAATTCGGTCCATTCCCAGCAAATAAAGAATACAAAACTCTTAAACATTCTCTCCCGTTAGATTGTGAAGCATCATTCAGTTGGGAGCCCAATTCATGTCTTATAAAACTGTTTACAACCTCTTTCCATTGATCTTTATTGACACAGCTCGCAATTATCAGAGCATGAGTCCATAAATTGTTATTCACCGCATGATTTATAGCAGCAACACGGTCTCCTTTAAGTAATAGTTCTTGCAATGTGTCAATGGTTTTTGTGGAGTATGTCATGGACGGCGGTGTGAATGATTCTGGTAAACTTGGTGTAGAATCAAAGTTCGAATCAGCTGGAACTGTAAAATTTGATTCATCATCTTGTTTCGTTTTAGTAGTAGATGGTGCCAAAACATGACGTACAGCCTCTTCAACTTTTGGACTGTTACAAATGAGAAAATCATGGTTATATCAATAAACAAAAAGTGAATGATAAAAAGGCACCTATGGCATTTTACATTAAGACCCGTATAACTAACCTTCCAGTAAGAACACCATCATGTTCAAACATGATTTTAAGCAAGTGCCAAATAATAGTATTAGCTTCCAATTTCTTTTTTTCAACTTCTTCGCCGACAAAAGAGTTCAGTACATCTTCTGCAGTCTTTATTTGATCATCCAAATATTTTATTACATGTTTTCTTTTTGCTTTTATACCTCCTCGATTATTATCCATAAGAAGAGGACCAGGGAAATCTTCGATATCTGACGATGGAATTATATCCTTTAAAGTGCGAATTATAAAAGCACCTGGAGCATATTTTGTAATTGGTATGCTTTGGTCCGTACTAGTAAAACGTTGGACCGTGCGAGGGAACATGGTGAACACTTTGCCTCCAAAACCAAAAGTGACAATAGGACACCCTTTAGACCTTCCTAAAGGATCATTAACAATGTTCGTGTTATCAGTCCCAAACTGCTGTTGGACTGCTGAATTTTGATATAAATTTGGCGTATCAACTATAGGCGAGGGCGAGGACGAGGACTGATAACCAAATTATAGCGTAAAAGAATTTGAGTATTTGTTTTAAACTGGTAATAATAAATGACCAACGCAAGCATCCACAACATGATCACAAAGATAAACATTATTAGATACACGTAACTCTGGTTATATAGGCACACTTCAAAAATAATGAAATTGTCTGATATACCCAGATGTCAATTAACCAGCGGCATTTTTACATAAGTATATAAATTTAGGTTTGAAATTTAAAAAAAACGGTATGGCCAACTGTCTGTTTAACCAAAGCTATGTGTATATGAAAAATGATTTATCATTAGAGTCATGAAGAACAATACCTCATTGATGATTCGTCCACATTCCGAACAAAACTTGGCATTGGGTTTATTTTCTCCCGTACATTGTGGGTATAAACAAGGTACAAATTGAACGACTTTCGCTGAAAATGGTGAATAAGATTGTGGTGGAGGCGTATTAACAACTGCGGGTTGATTTGAATTATAGTTTGAATACTGATGAGTAGATTGATGAATTCCAGATATCCCATCAATTGTCGGTTGACCAGTATACGGGTAGTTAAAGTTATTGGTATTATTTCCAACAGTATTATTGTCATATTGCGTATATGTCTCAGCTAAATAACCTTGATAATGATTGTTTGATTCATTTGTTTCAGTCAGGGTATCAACTGCAGGATATTGGGTATACTGGTTATTTACATCCTCGACGTCGGACGCAACTTGAGAAGTACCATAAGTTTGATATTGTTGAATTGAGTCGTTTGTGCTCCATTTTTCATATTCGTAATTATATGAATCTTGCTCAGTAGAACCATAATAATAAGTCAAAGCAGGATCATTCTTAGCTTGATTGGTTTCCGGCTCAACAGTAGATACTTCACGTGTACTTGATGATATATGTGTCTCAGAAGTCCCTAACGTTGTATGTCCTAAGACCAAATCATCCAAATCATCCAATTTACCTGTATCTTTGTTTGTTAAGTCAGTAACTTCCTCCGATTCTCTAGAAACATCCAATTCCGACGAAATTTGTGAATTATTTGCTATCTGGGATGTAGGTTGGTCTACTTGAGATAGTTCTGCTTTTTGAGGACCTTCTAAATCTTGTGGTTGATACTCAAATATATCGTCGTTATTTCGGTGAACTATATTTACTTCTTGTTCTTCTTCCAAGTTATTCATCTCGCCCTCATTAGATGCTACTGAAGGTTGTTTATGCTCTTGATTCGTTTCTATAGTTTCCACAGATGTAACTGCGGCAATATCATTATCAACTTTTGCAGAATTTAAATCATTAGCTTCATTAGATTCATTATAATACTGCGAATAGTCATAACCCTGATTAGGTCCATATGCTGCGCCATCAGAAGCATAAGTTTGATTAGGGTCCGCTGCGTCATTATAAATATAGGTTTGATTAGGGTCGTGTGTTGCGTCATTAGGGGCATAAGCTTGATTAGGTTCGTAATTCGGGTCGTAATTCTGGTTGTAATAATAACCTGAAGATGAGTCGTATGTTGAAGAATCATATTGCTGACTAGGATCATAATGATACTGTTGTGAGTAATAATATTGTGAATAATCTTGGCCACTGCCATCATAGCCATGTCCTGTATAGTCGTAATACTGTGTAATGTTTGTTTTGGGATCTGCTGCTATTTCAGTACTTCCAGTAGCTTGCGTGGAAGAATATTGCTCGCCGTAATACAAATTCGAGCCTGCCACATCATACTGTTGTGTTACCTCTGTGTTTGTAACGGTCCCGTTGGTCGCTTCATGCTGCAGCGTTGTTGAATGATTCTGTGGAAAATCATGATACGAGTAATCTGTTAACGCTTTTGTTGTAGTAGTTGTGGGTCCATTTGCATTATAGTTGTCGAAAAAAGAGGTTGCCGTTTCGTTGGTTTGAATTGTAGGATGTGATTCTGTTATATTTAAATCAGCTGTAGGGTTGGAATCATTTGTGGGTGAAAATAAAGAATCAAAAGGACTCTGTATAGAATCGCTAAATAAAGAAGAAGCAGAACCGGCAGTTTTTACACTTTCTTCAGAAGTACTTTGTGTAGTGTGAACTGTACTGCCTTCCATTTTTCTTTGGCAATAACGCCCTCAAAATGAAAAATAAAATATTAAATTTTCCAAAAATATTTTCGATTAAATATAAAGAATTGATCCCGATACAAATTGAACGGTAATTTTGGCCAGCATTATAAAAGTTTAATTATGAACCACCTAAATTTAGAGAAATAAAAAACGTGGTTTTTTCTCTATAAAACGGTAAATCCTAGATATGTAACAGGAGCATAGCAGAAGTTCGTTTTGATTGGCCAAAATTAGAGTAAATATAATTGGTGACGATCTTTTTTTTTATACAGTCAATTGTAATTTTTAAAGTACTTTTATAAGTAAAGATCGTCACAATATGCGAAAATTTTTTTTTATTATACTGTGTATATACTGTATTTACTGTATATTATCTGTTATATAAATATAAATATAACAACTGATACAACTGGCGATTATAAGTAGTGCAACAAAAAAAAAATTTACTTAGATCGTATTATTTTCCGCAATTCTGGGTATATCTTTTTATTTTTTTTTATTTTACTTATAAATAGTACTTTTTTTTAATATTAAAATTTCAAAAAAATCTTTTATTAAAAAACACAAGTACATAATCTGGCTGGATTTAGGTTGGGCTGTATAGTAAAATAATAGGCTGGATTCTAATATTACCTGTGATATTGTTCTAATATCACTTGTAATAATAAATATATATTCTAAAAAAGAAGAAAAAAGATATTATTTGCTCAAATTTGATTGGCTAAATTTAGTATTAGGTAGAAAGAAAGAGAAGTACTCTCTTAAGAGCTAAAAATTATCTAATAAATGTTTATACTTTAAAAGAATTAAATAGCTTATTATTATTTTTAGTATATGATACAGTTTTATCTAAATATTTATTTGTGAAAATAATTTTTAAAAGTTTTGGCTTTATATTCTTATAGCTACTTTTATTTTTTTATTTTTATTTTTTAATATTAAGGTAACCACTTAGGCCCCCGGCACTTGGCTTTATTCAGATAAATATGATATTACATCAATTTTCACGAGGATACAACTAGTTACACGTGTACTTTTGGTACCTAATTTAAGTAGTCCGCCTGGGTTCTACACTAGCTGCCATACCTGCAACCTAACTAG